CCCTGCAACCCGCCCGGACTGTCCCGCTATGTCCGGTGTCCTGTGATGTTCGGATATGTCCAGTGTCCTGTGATGTTGGGATGTCCGTGTCCTGTGATGTTCGGATATGTCCGGTGTCCTGTGATGTTCGGATCACCGGACAGTCCGGACACTCCGGGGACCCCGTCCGGACATCACAGGGTCCAGACACTGGTCCACGGACCGGACTGTCCAGTGTCTGGACCGGTCCCCGGAGTGTCTGTGATGTCCGGTCCCCAGTGTCTGGACCGGTCCAGACACTGGACAGTCCGGACACAGTGTCTGGACCGGTCCAGACACTGGACAGTCCGGACACTCCAGGGACCGGTCCGGGCATCACAGGGGACACTCCGGGGACCGTCCGGACTGTCCAGTGTCTGGACCGGTCCCCGGAGTGTCTGTGATGTCCGGTCCCCAGTGTCTGGACCGGTCCAGACACTGGACAGTCCGGACACTCCGGGGACCGGTCCGGACATCACAGGGGACACTCCGGGGACCAGTCCGGACATCACAGGGGACACAGGGGACACGCCGGGGACCGGTCCGGACTGTCCAGTGTCTGGACCGGTCCAGACACTGGGGACCGAAAGACAGTCCGGAAGTGTCAAGTGTCAGGTGTCCGGGTAAGGGGTTGTTGTTGTTGTTGATAGAAATGCAAAATTGTGCACCCTGCTTTATAGTTGAATCGTTGGGCCCGCGGGAAACGTCTTACAGGCCTGGGTGGAGGGAGGGGGGGTAGGAAACAGAGGAGTTTGAATCCAGATGGAAGCAGAGGGACAATCGGGACATCCGATAAAAAAATGGAATCCATGCAGAGAAGAGAAAGCAGAGCACCACCCCTGCGCAAACACAACGCGCACATACATCGACAAATGATCCAAAATTTTCAACATTTTAAAATTTAAAAAAACAAGAGGAGGGATTCGTGAAGCACCTGTATCCAACTGCTAATGCTAATCAGGATGATATCCCTTTTTTTTCGGGGGGGGGGGGAATGATATCTGAACGCAGTCGGCCTTTCTTTTTTTTTCTTTTCTTTCTTTCTTTCTTTTTTTTTTTTTTTTTTTTTTTTTTTTTTTTGCCTTTCTTTTCTAGAAAACATAAGAAATAAATAAACAAAATAAACAATACTTCTCCATCAATGGCAAGACCAGTACTTGGCCGTACTTGGCCCAGCTATCAGCCGTGTTTAAAACATCGAGTAGAAATGTTTCTAGTCGAATGAATTTGGTCGCTCCTGTAGTGGCCCCCGCGCTTTTTTTTTTTTTTCTCTTTTTTTTTTTTTTGGGAAAACACTGGCTCCATTCTATTCGTGAACGGGCACGACTTTAGGAAGTGCTGGTGGTTTTAACTTACTCGTAGAAAAGCACTCTCGACATGTGACAAATGAGAATGAACTTCCCGCTAGAACATGACCAGATGCGCCCGCCACATTTTTATCTTTTTCACATTTCGAGTGAGTGGTGTGGCCACGCCCCATAATCCTACTCCTTGCTTTCGAGGATATAACATGAGAGCGCAAGTACGTTGACTGCATTGATGGGTTCCTGTGGATTACGCCCATTGTTTCATTTTATTGGGTTTTTTTTTTTTTTTTTTTTTACTGGTTTTTCGCCTCAACATCCATGGCCATTACATTTCAGTAAAAACCACCAGTACGTTTCCCATATAGGGACCGCGGGCCTGATTTTGCCCTGCGTCCCACAAAAGAAACGAAGCGACCTTGCTTGCTCAATGCAAGAAGATAATTATAAACATCACCACCACCACCATAGCCATAGCCATCATCATCATCATCATCAGCAGCAGCAGCAGCAGCAGCAGCATCCGCATCGTCGTCGTCATCATCATCATCTTTTTTTGCATCATTTTAGCAATGTCGACTTCTTTTGCATCATTTTATCCATGTCGAAAATCATGGCTCTCTCTCTCTCTCTCTCTCTCTCTCTCTCTCTCTCTCTCTCTCTCTCT